CAGCCTTGATGAGCAGAAGAGACTTCTTTAAAAAACATTACAAGTCTTTCTGATCCCAAACTTTTGAGCGGTAGTGTGTATGTGTGTGTATATATTATATATATATATATATATATATATATATAGTGTCTTAAATGCCAGTTACTCAATTTTAACTTTAATATGACAAGAATTTAGTATAGAGTTACTGATATTTTAAACAGGTAACTGCCATGAAAAATCACTTTTTATTTCAGTTTTCAAACATTTTAGTGAATTGAGTAAACATGAACAAAAAATACTGTGTGCATCAAATTTGAAATTGTAATTGTAATCTTGAAATTGTAATATATATACACTACAGTTCAAACGTCTGGGAATAAGGGAGTCTCTTCAGCTTAACAAGGCTGCATTTATTTGATCCAAAAAATACAATAAAAATATAAAATGTTATTACAATTTAAAAGAACTGTTTTCTGTGTGATTATTTTGTAAAATGTAATTTATTTCTGTGATGCGCAGCTGAATTTTCAGCATCATTACTCCAGTCTTCAGTGTCACATGATCTTTCAGAAATCATTCTAATATACTGATTTGATGCTGAAGACACATTTATGATTATCATCAATGTTGAAAACAGTTGTGCTGCTGAATATTTTTGTGGAAACCGTAATACATTTATAGGAAAAATATAAATCTTTTGTAACACTATAAATGTCTTTACTGTCACTTTTGACCAATTCAATGCATCCTTGAATAAAAGTATTCATTTATTTAAAATAAAATGTTTCATGTTTTGAATAACAACTTCACATTTGATTTTTGGAACATAGTTTTGGAAGTACATGAGTTCCTCCTAACCGTTTCTAAAGGTTTTCAGGTATAAACCATGCGAAACTCGCTTCCTTCACTGACCATAAGAGCCTGAAGCCGCTTTGAACAGCAGCAAAAACAACATCCTCGTTCCTGCGCAGATACAGAAGTGGACGTTTGAGGAGGAGCGGCTCCAGACGCCTCGAGTTCACCCTGTTTTTGCATAAGGCACTATTTTGAAGAGCTTTAGGCAAATGTGCATTGGCTGAAAAGGAAAGTATTTAGCACACATACTGAAGTACATGTGACGCTCACAGTGTTTTCACATCAACTTCATCTTCAGTCACGTCACCAGCATTTCATTTGAGAAAAAAACTATAGTCATATATCATATACACACAGAAACAAAGGTTTTCACAGCAACCTGTCAAAATAAAAGTTTGGCTTAACTTGAAGAAATTGTGGCAAATATATTTCAGTATAATGTACTGCAATGTCTTAATGTAATAATAATAATAATCATTATTATTATTATTATCATTATTATTACATTTTTAAAGGGATAATCACTCAAACATTGGTCCATGTTTTAATTTTAACAGTAAACCGGCTGTGTAGAAAAAAAAAAAAAAAAGTTTAATTGTCATTTAATTAAAATATAAAATAATGTTTTGTGCCTTCATTTGAGTACCAGGAAAAATAAAGTGAAAGTGATAAAATACACAACACAGAATTTCT